GGGGGGGGGGGGGGGGGGGGGAAGAAGGTGCCTCCAATAGCTGGGCTCAGCTTCCCAGTGGCTCAGCCCCATGGAACTCAGCCTGGTGGCGGGCCATGCAGCACAGCACTGGCTCTGCCTACTTTCTGCCACTGGGCTGAGCTACATGGGCTGGTGAAGCCAAATCAGAGCACAGCCCAGTATTGGGAAGTGGACAGAGCCGGCTGCTCCGCAGAGCTCAGCCCGATGGCAGAAGGCAGGGAGACCCAGGGCTGTGCTCCCTGCCAGGCTCAGCCACATGGGCTGCAGCTGCTGCTCAGAGCGCAGCCCTGGCTCTCCCCTGCCTCCCCACCATGAGGCTGCTGCTTCAAAACATTTCAACTGGCCTCATTGTGTTTCGAGGCTGTTTCAAAGCCCTTCATTAAGTTTTGATTTTGCTGTTTTGAGCTCAAAACAGTGTTGAAACAAAAACAGCTGGCAAAGCTTTGTAAAGCCCTATTGAGATCCACTGCTTTAGATCCTTTGTGCACAGTATGCCACCAATGGGGGGAGGGGAGAGAAAGAGATCTGGCCGTCAGGGGTTCCCAGCTCCTGTGTGGTTAGGGGCTGCACACCAAATTGTGCCATTGCCATCTGCTCCCCTGCTGAGGGGTCCCCAGAGCTGTCTGGCCACAGGCTCCTTGAGCCCCATGAGTTGTGCTACTCAGGGTCAAGGTACAGAGTAGAAGCTGAAGGAGGGAGGGGGAGCCTGGACACTGGCAGCAGCAGTAGGTAGAGCAATGGTGGGCAGGGAATGGCACCTGGACTGGAAGCTCAGAGGCTACAGGTTAGCTACTCAAAAGGTTGCTAGTTAGAGAACCCTGGTGCAAGTCACCATAGCTCCACCATCTTCAGTACAGCCACAGTGATTCACAGCAACTGAGGACCTGCCCTTACCATTATGACCTGCACATATCTAACACTGCCTTTGTTTTATCCGGTTATAAACAGTTCCCCAAATCACTTCATGACAAAACTTGTGGGGGGCTATTATTCAATAATTCAAGATGGAACCAGAGTAGCATTCTTGCTCTTTACTTCATGTTGGGGCCTGATCTGCATTCAAGTCCAAGGAATTACACTAAGGAAGGAGGAAGTCCTCTAGCAAGCAAGAGTATAGAGAGAGGTACAACATGAGTAGTTCACATGATGCTCTGAAAGATTGATCCAAAGGATACAGATGAAGGAGAGGAAAGGCTGTGCCAGAAGTTACAGGAGACAGGCATATTGGGACAGGATCTGCTTGCATTAGGACCTGGTTGAAAATTAGGTGCTTCTGCCTTCCCTTGTTTTATATTTCTAGATTTTAGGTATTTTTCCTACCAGCATAGCACAAAGAGCTAGCTTTGCCTTACCCCACCCCCACAAATATGGAACAAAACAAAAAACCCCCAAAAAACCAAATCTAGTCTATTCTATGTATTTGAAACATTTAACACTGCCTTTGTTATTTTAGTTCTCAGGAAATAAGACTTCAAAAACATGTAGTCAATTCTAGCCAAGAACTTGAACATTTTCCTATTATTGGCTAATAGAAAGTTCACTGAAGCAACAACATTTTGCAAGAACACATTCAGTTTTGTAAAGACAGCGTTTTCCATCGGGGAACTGTTTCTGTTAAGTGTTCCTAACAATTCTAGTCTGTCTTGCAGTTCTACTAACAAGCCTCACCATGAGGTGCAGTAGGTCTCACCCGACAAGAATAAAAGCTTGTTATATACAGGGTTGTTTACTCATGGGAGAGTGAAAATGGGGGGAAAAAAGTTACAAGATCACCCTTTCTGGGATGTAGAGATGTGTAATGCTAGCACTGGTGATATTGGAAGCCTTAATGGAAAGAAATGCATTCCAATGAAAGAAGGGGGTGGGGAAAAAAGAAGTCACACCTGGTAGGATCTGTGCTGGTAATAAAGCAAGCATCAAGACATGAAGTACACATATTTCCCACATCTGAACTTCAGATTGTCACCAGAAGTCTATCCGCATTTTGCTTATCCGCAACTCCCATCATCATTGGGATAATGCTCTTCAAAACACAGTACAGGCATGAACTACTTTATAACCTCCAGTGAAGGTAAGTGACAATAATACCCCCCCCCCCTTTTTTTTTTTTTTTTAAACAGGCAAGCAAACAAACAGAAGTGTTACAGCCAAAGTTTAAGACCATCAACTCATGGGATGCCTAACCCCAGACATTCAGAATCAGACAACTAAGGTTAGAAGGGACCTCAGGAGGTCATCATCTACTCCAACCCCTGCTCAAGGCATCCCTGACTAATCCACCTTAGCCAAGTGTTTGCCTTAAGCTATTTTTTCAAGTTTCACGGACACCAAAACACATACCTTCCTGCACAGCAGCCAATTCTCAACAAGTCAGCATTTTCTGATGAAAAGCTCTCCTACTGTTCTGAGTAGCTCACCAGTCACTTCTGGGAGCCCAGTTTGGGACCATTTCTAGTCCCATAAGAGATTAAAGTCAGTCCAACATTAAAAAAACCCAACAAGGTCATGAGTTAAATGAAACTCAAAAATTTTATATTGGCAAGAGCAATAACTTAGAATCCAGTCAGACTTTTGTCCCTCATACAGAAGCCATCCCCTGGCCTTACCTCTGCTAATTCTTTGCTTCTCCCCCGAAAGGATCCCTGGAGTATCGATAACACTGATGCTCTCTAGTACTGCATTGGGCAGCTGGGCACACACAAATCTGTATTTAAGAAAAAAAAAGAAGAGAAAACGTTTAACTGATACAGCAGAGGGCATTACTCAGATCTCAACTGATTAGCTCTACATCCCAAACAACTCTATTGACAGTGGAATTTTTTGTGATTTAAAGTGGTGTAAGAGATGACAAATCTTATGGGGCTGCGTAAAGCTTCAGTCTCTGATTTGTTTCGGCAGAGATTCGTCAGCCAGATCTCCGGATCAGAATCGGAGGGCCTTTTAATCTCTCTGAATAGATTTGGACATAGACACCGCTTTAAATGTTTTTTCTACATACCTCTAGGTAGCAGGGGCTCATGAATGCTGCAATGCTGGGGCACCGGGAGCATCCCACAGGAGCATGGGGGCTCCCCAGCAAACTCTGCAGTAGACCCAGAAGGGGACCAGAAGCACTTCCAGTCCACTGGGGAGCATGCTGCCCCCCCTTCCCCCTGCTGCTTGGCAACTGGTACCTCCTGGGTCTGGAAGGGCACCCAGGGCCCCCCTGCAGCTAATGGCCAAGCTGAGAGGGCCCCCCCACACCCTCCCCAGTGGATCTGGAAGCACTTCAGCAATCACAAGCTGCACTGGTACCTCAAGGTATGTAGGAAAAACCATTTATAGCAGTCTATCCGAAATCACAGATTCCCCTCAATCAACATCAGATCTTTGGATTCGGCCAAATCAAAATCAGGGACAGGGATCCGAATCAGTGTTCCCAGTTTGGCCCAAATCCAAATTGAATAGGGCCTGCTTTGCACACCCCTAAATATCTAATCTCTTGGCCCCTTTGCATTAAACATGGTTTCTCAACAAACAAAAACAATGTGGCAAGTTTTTCCATGCAGGTCTCAGCATTACAGTTATTGAAGCAAAACCAGTGTGGATGTTCTAATGCAAAGAAAACAGTTTCCATGTATTGTTGAAACAGCAGGGAGGAGGGGGGTTGTTTTTGTTCCCTTAAAATCTTCTGGTGTGGGGTTATGAACTCAAGCGAACTACAACAATACCTCCTCTGGAAGAATCAAAGCTTTTAAGACAAAAAGAACCTGAAAGCAAGCCTGGCTTTCTATAGAAAGTAACATGAACTATTTCTATATTGCCTAGGGTAACACCCAAAAGAAAATGAAAAGCATAAGTAATTATGAAACAATCATGAGCCAATGTAATTGATAGATGCCTCTTGTGATTGAGTCCTGGGAGGCAAAGTGAAAGAAAAAGAGCAGCGACAGGGTGCTGCAATTTGGAGAAGTCTATTGAGGTACCATCATGGTAGGAAGCAGCAGCACAAGAAGGATGTTTGCTCCAATCCAGAAGCAAGTTTGGTTCACACAACATCTGGATCCAAATGGGATGGGTGAATACAGCCCCGTTACCAAGGCTTCTCCCAAATGAACCCTGGGCAATATCTCAACAAAACAGACTAGCAGCTGTGTCCTTCAATACCATTACACTTTAAAGTAAGCCTCAGAGCCAATTTTAACAAGAAAAATTCTAAATGCTTAACAAATTGGGGAGTCTCAAAATTTCTCCTGCCCAAAGTCATTAGGAATTTCAGTTCAGATACAACTGCCCTCTACTATTCCCTACTTGGCAAAGGATAATGTGAAACTTTGTAAGAGGGCATTTCTACTTGCATAGTTCTCTGGGGCGGCGGTGGGGGG